TATTTTATGCCGAGTAAAATTCTGCCTTAAATTAAAATATACAACAAGACTATTGTTTTGTTTCAAATATTTTCTTTTTAATCATTCTTTTTAATAAAATATTCTGTAGACTTTTGGGTTGTGACAATAACATTGTCAATAATTTATTTTTATCGAAAAGATTTAATTTTATTACTAAAATATTTTAATATTTTCAATTATCTATTTTTTTTTAACAATTCTAAATTAGCCTTTATTATGTTTTAATCGTTGTTAATTATGTTTAACAAGGATATTTCAAATCAATAGTGGTTTTCCGAGAGTAGCAAAGATGCTGCACAAGGCCGAAAGTATGGGGCACCCAGTGAGGATCGAACTCCCTATTCAGTCGTAACTGATCTAGCGAGACAAGCTTGCTAACCATTACACATTATGTCGAAGGGGGGCACCTCGACGTAGTGTAACGGGTTAGAACTTTTGTCTCGTTAAAACAATTACGACTGAATAGCGAGTTCGATCCTCACTGGGTGCCCCATACTTTCGGCCTTGTGCTACATTTAAGCTATGCTTATAAGATTCAATTACCTCAGTTAAAATAATCAATGAAATACATTAATTTTAATATTTTATTTTGGATGAGCATGTTAGATTTCAGACTGTTCATGGCTAAATATGAATAGGAAAGAATGGGTTATATATCTTTGGATGGAAACCAACCTAGGAGAAGGAAAAGACTCCTAATTCCAAACCAGCCTAGTGGTCCAGTCATCTACTGCCTTGTCGGGGCTGCTTCTTTTGGGAAAATGGTTAGAAGGTAACTTCAAAAACAAATCCACCTTTACACGTCTTCTGGAAGAAAGATGATCCTCCTTTACTTTGAACCGTGCCAGAAAATGGATTCCCACGGGTTTAGTATAATGGTTCGAATTCTGAGATATGACACGGTGCCATGGACCTGTCTGATTTCAGACCGTTCGCCCATGGCTGGATCACCTACGACATCTTCGACGACAATGTAGGAGTTTTTTTGTTCTTTACTTTAAACCGCCCGCAAATCTTCCAGTGATTGCTATTCATAAGAAACAAGAGTTCGTTATCTACAGGAAGGAGAAACAGCACAACAACAAAATCGTACCTTGTGTTGAGAACATTTTCGAACCTGACTGAAAATTGTCGTTGTCTGTCAGATATGAAACAGTTAAACTTCCCACGTTTTGTCCATCCATATAATACCAAAATTCTACGCAAAGGTCCGTTGAGTTTACACTGTAGACAGGAGTTGACAAACTAGCAAATTGTCCTGCTGTCTCGGATGGTAATCTTCGAACAAACATGAAATGGCCTGAAATATAGAGAAATAGCAAAAACATAATATGCAGGACATTTAGATTGATTTTTACAAGAATATTCATTCATCTTGAAAATAAAGCCATTAGTATATTTGTACGTGTGTGTTAACCCTTTCAGAGTCAGTTTATTCCCAGACTTTACCCGTTTTAAGGTAGCCAGACTATAAATTAAGTTAACATCAGACTTACCCCCCCACCATTAATCATATATGGCTCATAGAACTCGTTTAGTTAGCCGGCGTACAGTTCTTGCTGTAGTGTATCAACAAATCCAAAAAGATAATGTATCTGTGCAATCGAATGTAAGCGAGAGTCGAGGTTTGTGTCAATATAACTGCAGAATATGATGGTACCTGAGCATGGCTGCATAGCATTTAGATTTTCGTCGTATTATTTTTAGACAATGATAGACGAATTATTATTCATGATATCAGATTTTAGTCATTTCTGTGAACACAATAAGAAATCGATCACCTGTCTATGAAAAATCACAAAATAAATCCCCAATTTCGAACCATGCCACCACGTTATGGAAACGCCAGCTTGTTCAGGTTGATTCAATAGCGTATACCCCTATGCGGTCAGTTAGTATAATGCAATCCGTTTGTAAACAAACATGATTATATCTAGCCTGTATGGCAAGAATTAAGTACTTAGTTAAAGGATGAGATATATATTAATCTGCCTTTGATTATTGTCAGGTCGAGCTGTGAAGATACAATTTTGTGATAGAATGTTTTTGAGGTACGATCTTGAAAATATTATTTCATTCCCTCGGGTAGAGTTGCAGGTTACAACAGCCGAAATGTGACAGTAAATGAAGAAAAACTACGAGAAAATTAATACGAATTAACTAACAATTTCTGTTTTGTAAATATATAATAATTATATTACATATTAATATATTTAATTATATTCAATATATATTTTATACAATATCATGACTCGAGCAACGAAGTTTTAGAGAAAATGGAAACAAAAAGGAAACTTATGCTTACCATAAGGAAGAAGCAGTTGAGGTTTCTGGGGCATACAAAATGAGGAAGGAGGGCTTAGAAAATCTGATGCTCACAGGACAGAGGAAAACAGCACATAACATACATAGTAAGTTTGCGCAGATGGATGGCGGGAAAAGGTTTAGAAGAAATAACAGAAACACAAATTTTATTAAGAGCTACAAGATACAGGAAGTTGTGAAGAGCCATGATTGCCTACGTCCTGAAGGAGACACGGCACATAAAGAAGATATTCAACAGACATTTCTCATTACGTGTTAATATATTTTATAATGTTTAATGTCATTTCAACAGAAAAATATTTACAAAACTTCATCTCAAAATATGAATTTAGTGTGGCAACTGAAAAACTGAAGGGTTTCAAAAAGTCAACTTGTTCGCTTTCGATCTTTTTTATTTTCTTTATTTTTAAGGTTATAGAGCCAACTTTAGAGATTAAAATGGCTATGTATGATGTCCAAAAACTCATTGAGTTTTTCTATTCCAATGTAAGATCAATTATTCAAACTCAGAGAAGACACCGGTAACATTTTAATTTCAGAGTATCTCCCAGGGATAACATGATTTGGAACCTAATCGCCCGATTTGAAAGAACTGGATCAGTCGGCGATCTTCCGGGAAGAGTTCCTAAGCGCACTGTGCGCACTGACACAACGGTGGAAGCTGTACGGCAGAGTGTCATTGAGGATCCATCAGTTTCTACCGGTCGTCGCTCAGCTCAACCAGGCATCGCCTGAACATTGCTTCAGAAGATTCTGAAATTGGATTTAAAAATGTTTCCATACAAGATTCAAATAGTTCAAACCCACCATAAGATACCCATGTGTTTGTAAAAGTTATCTGTGTTTTATATCAGTCTTTCATTGGCCACCTTGTACAAATTATACGCTATGTGCCTTGTCCCTTGTCCCTTCAGAACGTAAGCGATCATTACTCTCCACAATTTCCTGTTCCTTGTTCTTAATGTCTTTTATACCTTGTTCTGCCATCAACTTACTCAAGCTAGCTGGGTAGGTCATGAGTTGTTTTTCTCTGTCCCACTCGCTTTCACTCTCTCCTCCTAGTATCAAATTTCTCAATTCCTCTATCCTCCTTATGCGTCCTAGAAATGCCAACTGTCTCTTCTTGATGTTAAATATGTTATAAACCATCGGCGTTGGTTACATGTTCAGTCCAGGGTTTTTTGAGTATCCTTCTGTAGAACACCCCTTTCTGTTGCTTCAAGTCTCATCTGTGTAGATTGTCCAGCATTCAGTGTCATATAGGAGAATTGATATTACATAACAGTTCAATACTCTTTTCCCTTTCTAACGAGGCGATAATGAAACGTTACTAGTTTAGTTTAGCAGCTATAGAAAGTTACAGGCCAAATTTTCCCCATGTAGCCTTTACAATAAGGTTAGAGCTGAGATCAGCTGCCTAACTGATCTTCACTTTTGAAGCTTCACACGTAAACTCTGCTATCAACTGCATAGATATTTACTAACGATCGGAGAAGCCTTCGAGGCAGGTCGTATAAATGAATAGTAATCTAAACTCACATATAATTGTATTATATTATAGATTTCGGCTAGACTAAATATATTATAAGAATAATTGTCATACAAGAATCGCTTGCGAGTAGTGAAATATCTCCGTATTAAAAACGTCAATATTACCACCCACTGCTAGATTAACGCATTTTAATTCTTGTATGTCCCGTGAACCTTCAAGAAATGGGCGACTATGGCTCCATCACCAAAGTTAAGCAATATCGAGCCTGGTCAGTATTTTGATGGGTGACCGTTTTGGAATACTAGGTGCTATAAGCTTGGATCTGCGAGTGGTGTCATTGATAATGGCTCGGAATTGTTAATCGGAGAGCAGATTTCTAATTCCTGTTGGGTGCGTTATATTCACTTACGTTCAAATACCCTTAGGAAAGGATCAACATCAAGAGAGAGAGAGAGAGAGAGAGAGAGAGAGACACACACACAAAGAAGACCAGAGAGAGAGAGAGACACACACACAAAGAAGACCAGAGAGAGACACACACACACACAAAGAAGACCAGAGAGAGACACACACACACACACAAGAAGACCAGAGAGAGACACACACACACACACAAAGAAGACCAGAGAGAGACACACACACACACACAAAGAAGACCAGAGAGAGACACACACACACACACACAAAGAAGACCAGAGAGAGACACACACACACACACAAAGAAGACCAGAGAGAGACACACACACACAAAGAAGACCAGAGAGAGACACACACACAAAGAAGACCAGAGAGAGACACACACACACAAAGAAGACCAGAGAGAGACACACACACAAACACACAAAGAAGACCAGAGAGAGAGAGAGAGAGACACACACACGCACAAAGAAGACCAGAGAGAGAGAGAGAGAGACACACACACACAAAGAAGACCAGAGAGAGAGAGAGAGAGACACACACACACAAAGAAGACCAGAGAGAGAGAGACACACAAAGAAGACCAGAGAGAGAGAGACACACACACAAAGAAGACCAGAGAGAGAGAGAGAGAGAGATATAGAGACAGAAAAAACTAGACAGAGAGAGATAGAGACAGAGAAAACTAGAAAGAGAGAGATAGAGACAGAGAAAACTAGAAAGAGAGAGATAGAGACAGAGAAAACTAGAAAGAGAGAGATAGAGACAGAGAAAACCAGAGAGAGAGAGATAGAGACAGAGAAAACCAGAGAGAGAGAGAGAGAGAGAGAGACATAGAAAACCAGAAAGTAAGAGAGAGAGATAAGAGACAGAGAAAGCCAGTGAGGGATAAGAGAGAGAAAGAGAGATTTTCTGTCTATATTTCTGAGATGAGGTATTGTAATTATTTACATTGTTCAGACTGTTATCCTCATCGTTGTTGCCATATTTACAACGTTTCAGCCGTTGTATGTTCCGGCCTTCTTCAGATGAAACATTTTGTTCCCATTTTTCTTTGAAACATTCTAGTTCATAGTATTCTACTAGAATTCGAGCAACATATAAAGCCCAAGATTTAAATTTAAAAGTTCGAAGAAAAAAAAAAAAAAAAAAAAAAAAGAAAAAAGAAAGAAAAAAATATAATACCTGATCTTGAATTATAAGTATGGTCTGGTAAATTAATTTGGCCGCGATATCTATTTCGTTCCCATTTCAATTGATTACCGTTGTCATTGGTAAATTTACATAAAGAAGGATTTTCAAAGTTGCAAAATTTCTCTTTACCAACAGATACTGTAAAAAAAAAAAAAAAAAATTGAACAGTGGAATTTTGCATAGAAAACATGTTTTAATGTAGATGAAGTTTTAATCAATTTAGTGTTTGGTTTCCTGTTACATCTTTTTATCTGCAACCGATCATATACGCAGGTCGCTTCTCTTTGTCTTTTCTAAAAATACTTTCACGGTAACTGCTCCGACCAGCTACGTTTGTTAGTTCCCAGACTGCATGAATTTAAACGTGCTACTAGGTAGGCATCTCAGTCCCACCCATTCACTGTCTAAACGGTTAAATGTAGCCGTCTCTAATAGCTTCATGTATGGCACTTCCCATCTGTGGAACTCCCTTCCTCTTACTTGATTCCCAGATAGCTATAATCTTCAAATATTTAAATGCAATGTCAATCGACATCTTCAGATATCTTGATTGAATTCCCTTTCTCTTCATCCTTTCCTCTATCACGCCTCTTTACTCTTGATCCTTTTCTCTGTAACCCCTTGCATGCTTATGGATCTCCCGCCTTGCTTGGGGTGAAATGCTTGAATTATTTTGATAAATATAATAGTTTTTTTAAACTATTATATTTATCAAAATAATTCACTTAATTTATCTGGATTGATTGTTATGGATACCTTTCGTATATCCAACCTTTGGTGGATTTCTCCATGAATTATTTTTCTTTTTCATCAAAAAGTTTCATCATTTATATATATATATATATATATATATATATATATATATATATATATATATATATATATTATATAGCTGGTCACACGTATCCGAGGATACCCGTCTATTAGGGAGACTAGCCAATCCTTATTGCAGACGCTCGCTCAGGCACATTTGTGCTTGTTTAACACCCACAGAGTCAACCTCTGCTGAACAGACCTTAGATACAGTTTCCGTGAGAGAGGGTGTTATCTAGCGTGGATCAGCAACCTGAACAAGGTCAGTACAGTCAAGCCCTCGGTCACGATGACTTGCGACTTCGTGCTAGCACAGCTATCGACAGGCCCGTTTTCACTCACAAGGCTTGGGTCAAAAGGTACTGCACGCTGGATAACACCAGGAAGTCAACCTCCTGACAAATCAGCCGTGGTGAGATTCGAACCCGCTTTTCATGGTCAGAAAGCGAACGTTCTAACCACGTCCATATTTTTATATATATATATATATATATATATATATATATATATATATATATATATATATATATATATATATATATATATATATATATATATATATATATGTGTGTGTGTGTGTGTGAGAATAACGACAAAAAGAAAGTTTATCCTTTTCGGACTTTATTAAGGCAAATGTGAAGATTTTATTTTGCAACAAATATTTGTTTTATACCCACCACTACAAAACGATAAAATCTGGAATAATTATAGTCTTCTATTTAAGAGCACCAAGAATCCGCGAGCCCCAATAATTATTTAAAGAAAGAATATAGAAAACATTTTCCAAAGCCCTAAATATCTTTGTTTCATCTACAATGCTAAGAGAAATGCTTACAAAATATACAACCTCAAAAAGATAACATTATTAACAACAATAACAATAAACTAGATAAAAACAGTCAATACTACGTACTAACTCCGTAAAATCTATTACCCAAAACAATTTATCTTATATTAACAATATCAAAATAATTACAACCACATCCAAAACTTATGAATATTGTCAGAACCAAAAATATCAATCACAATAATTCTGAAGCAGGTATATATATATATAAAATAAACTATCACAACTGCTCTTCAATGTACATTGGGGAAACATGTAGATATTAGAAAAATGTATTTATGAACACAAAAAGGATCTTATGCAAAAGAATTTATCAAATGCATCAGTCATACATAGCAATAAATTCAAACAACTTTGATGTGAAGTATACCACACTTATTAAAAGAGAAATTAACTGGAATCTTTCGAAAGTGCAGCTGATGAATCTTATCAAAATATAAATCTGCGACCTGGATTTATTGTAATATCTCCATTCCTGAAAGAATTACTACTTTCCCAAGCTGACATACATGACGATAAAAATGTTAAACAAATAAAGAAAACAAATAAATTCATGATCTGTTATTTAAAAATATAGAATACATAAATTTATCCCATACTAAAATAATTTAAATATTAATTGCATTAACAAAAAAGAAAAAAAAAGAAAGAAAAAAGTCATTTAAATTACATCACTTACCAATCTCCATAATTTACCTAGACTTTTCAGTTAACCTGATTAAGATTTATGAGCGATTCTTAAATTAAAAAAAGGCAAGTGAAAAACTAACATTTTTACTTTTCGTTATATGTAAATACTTGTTGCAAAATTAAATCCTCACATTTTGAGTTGATGAAGTTCTTCAGATTACGAAACGCGTTAGTTAAGTTTTCCTTTTATATTTGTTCATATTGTACTTTTTACAGATATATTGTAGTTATATCTAAAATATATATATATATATATATATTTCTGCAGTCAACACAATCATTTGACAAGACACCAGAAGAGTTGAAACAAAATGGCTATTTTTGTAGTGATGTTACATGTTTATGTTGTAATTTTTGAATAAATACTCTCTCTCTCTCTCTATATATATATATATATATATATATGTGGGGGTGTAACAACGGATCGAAATGACGAATTGGGGGAGGGTCCGTGTTCGAATACGAGTCGACGTTTTTACTTTCATTTATGCGCAAATACCATTAGGAAAGGTATGAATCCATCTCTTCATCCTATCTATGGGTTAAGTAGTAGGCTAAACAGACCTCCTTCAGCCTTGGTTGCCAACCAGTCTAGGAAAAAGACAACTCTGAATTTATATATATATATATATATATATATATATATATATATATATATATATATATATATACTTCAAAAGTTTATTATGATGGACATTCATTTCAAAGAGGCCCCATATTTTTATTTATCAGATGGTGTGTTTTACGTTTATTTGCCTGCAGGAAATCGAGAAACCTTGCTCAAGAAAAAGATGTATTTCTCGAATGTGCAGGATGATAGACGTAATACACACTGTTTTATAAATAAATAAATAAAATCCTTCCACCCGGACACAAGTAGAAGCTTTGCTAAATAGTCACTAAAGAAGTTGTATAATCGTCATGGCCGAGACGATTATTTCAAATGAAATTGTTTACTATAGTGACAGTTGAAGTAATAAAAACACCGAATAAAAAAAATGAATCCATTAAATCTTTAAAAATTATATATACATCTTCACTTATCTTGTCTAATCGGAGTTTCACAGATATTACCTCTATTCTTCAGGAGACTTGATTGCAAAATTTTATTTTTAAATATTCTTTTTTTTCCCCAAATACATTACTATATGAGAAACTTATTTGAAATAAATCGGTTTTGCGTATTAGCACAATTTTTATATATATATATATATATATATATATATATATATCTCGGTAGTTATTCAAATTCATGTGTACGTATACATATTTATAACATGACAAATATGGCGCGCGCGCGCGCGCACACACACACAGAACATTCAGTTTCAAGCAGACGCACATTTATAGACATAAAAAAACAAAATGAAGATACACAAAAACAAGAGTGAGAAAAGATATTTAATTTCTTTACTTACCTGTACGACAATGACCGTCGACAAGAGAGACATCGTCAACTGCAATTTCGGATTTTGGTCCCCAACCTGTGTAGGCTTCCAAAATTACCTAGTATATTTGATAGTAAATTAATCTTCACGTTGACAGAAAATATTTTGAAAGTCGACAATTGAAAATTATAATAAAAATAGAAATGAATAAAAGGACGATATCTGTCTATATTTTCGATATGAGGTATTAATGTACATTATTTACATTATTCGGACTATTGTCCTCATCTTTGTCGCCATATTTATTACAACGTTTCGGCCGTTGTACGCTCCGGCCTTCTTCAGGTGGTTGGAATGTCGAACTAAATGAACCCTTTATTTCGCTCACTGGGGTAGACTGTTCTAGTTCCACGTGCCAAGGACACATGGCACAGTGGATAAAGGCGTTGGTTAGATCCAGTGACAGAACCCAAAGTGTGTGAGTTCAATACCCGGTTAAGACAGTGGAGAACTTTCAGAGGGAAAATTAACAGGAGTTAACTGATAACTGACATCCATTAGACATGGCACGTGGAACTAGAACAGTCTACCCTAGTGAGCGAAATAAAGGTTTCAGTTCGACATTCCAACCACCTGAAGACGGCCGGAGCGTACAACGGCCGAAAACGTTGTAATAAATATGGCGACAAAGATGAGGACAATAGTCCGAATAATGTAAATAATGTATAAAAGGACGAATTAAAAAGATAAATGACAAATGGATATACAGTGTAACCCGGATGTAAGAGAGTTGTCGGGACCGGAGAAGAAGTCTCTTATATCCGGGTTTCTCTTATATCCATTAACACAGGCTCTAATTTGGGACCAGAGAAAATCTCTTACACCAGGGTTTCTCTTATATCCGGGTTACACTGTACACTCTCTTTGCATGATTTTTAAATAACTCAGTAAAAAAAAAACAAAAAAAAACAAACAAAAAAAATAGCAAAAAAAAAAAAAAAAACAAAAAAAAAAAAAAAAAAAAAAAAAAAAAACAAAAAAAAAAACAAAAAAAAAAACAAAAAAAAAAAAACAAAAAAACACAAAAAAAAACACAACAAAAAAAAACAACAAAAAAAAAACAACAAAAAAAAAAATTTTTTGCAGTATTTTTTTTTTCTTTTTTTTTTTTTTTTTTAATTCAACACGGTTTAAACATTTGTCCTTGTATGACCACCGAATCTATTGCAAGTTGCAAGTAAACTATTAATTATAATTTACAAAATGCCGAAACTCAATTGAGTAACAGTTTAGCGAAGTAAAATAGAATCCAATCGATTTTTTCCGCATAGTGATCCCCCACACTCCGGACTGCACATACCTCTGTCTGTGTGTAACCGCTCCATCAGATGGAGACATTCAAATAGCCAATAAACCTGGAAATCGTTTTCATACAAATGATAACAATGTTGAACAAGCTGTGCAATTCCAACATGATTTGAAAATGGTTATGACATGTTATGCAGAATCATATAAAGAACTAACAAGAACACAATCACAGTATTTGATAACCTAATTCGTATTCAAAAGACAAAAGAAGAAACACAAGATGTTAATTTGATTCAAGATACACATGAAGATATATCGCCATTGAATATTTCCAGAGACGAGAGTGATTTTTCGCCACTGAAAGTCAACAGAAAGCAGTCACATTTACAGTTCAGTAGTGACACTGAATGACACACACACACACACACACATTATATATATATTACACGGTTTTATCTTGCACGGTAGTCTCTGGAACATACCCACCGTGCAAAAAGAGAATTGAATGTATTGTAACATTTTTCTAATTTGTATTTAGATACATTGTATTTATTTTCAATTTTCTAGTTGAATTGTTCATGTATATTGCATATGATCCATTATTGTACATAATTAGGTTAGAATAAAATTTGTATTTTATATGAATAGTGCCTTATGAAAATTGGGGTGTAATAGAGAGTGAGAGCCCATATCATAGATTCGGTGGGAAGGCACGATACACTTGCATCGGCCCTGCTGGGGTAGTCTATTTAACTTTGTATTTGTCCATTATTAAAATCGATATTGGGCTTCTTGGTGTAGAATAATGGTCAGCGAAGCTCAGTCTAGTTGATTATTACGAATGAGTAGCGAGTTTGGTCTTGACTATATGCCCCAGTACAAAAATTAAATTTAAATAACCCAGCAAGGGTTGACATTTAAAAATCAATCAACTAATCAATCTATATTGAAATTATTTTATTGGTTTATTTAATTCATTTTTAACACGTCTGCTATTGTGGACGTAAATACAACATATACATTGCCCGCTGTCGACGTATATATACGTCAACAAGACGTGTTAAAAATGAATTAAATTTTGACTTACATTGTAAGGTGACCGACTGCTGAACTGGATGTCTGCTCGGAGCCATTTGTTAGCTTTTGTGCCATAACGATGGAATACCGGGTTACCGAGTTTTGGTCCGGTGAAAATGTAGACATTGAAGGTAGTTATGTCGCTGCCGTACATATGATACCAAACAGTGAAACACTGGAGTCCGTTCGGACGCATGAGTGGGCTGATTAATCGCGCTTTTCCATTGGAGTAGTGGTTTTTTTTTGGAATGTACAAATAAAAGCCAGCTGTTTAAAAAGCAAAACAAGAAATGAAACAACGATGAGTGGAAAATATAAAACAATCGGTTCTCGTTAGCAAAAACGAAAACAAGAATCAGGAAATTACCAGCTGAACTGAATCAGATTTATTATCAATAAACAACTTTACTTCTAGGAGATGATCTGGAGTAACCCCAATATACGAGGTATGATAAAAAAAAAGTCTCGAGACTTTGTACGGTAACGGAATTAAAGAACACAAGAGCGAAGCCGCTTGGAACAGATTCATCTTAAACTGTCGCGCATAAACTCTAGGTTATAATGTTCTCGCTCACTTACGTTGTTTATAAAAATACTTGAAAGGAAAGTGTGTAGAGTGTTTATTTTATTTACCGAACAACAACATTCCCCAGTATTGCTGGTAATAATCTTTTACAAAGTATTTCTGATATTAGAACCTATTTTTACACTTTCATAGTGTTTTGACTCCAGTTTGGGGTTTAACTATTTGCCCATAGCTGGGACCCTAACAGGTGCTACCACCACGAGTCAGGGTGGACCTGGGAACACCAGCAATTAAGAGGTGGTTCCACGCTCCTCAAAGCCTCCTGATAAGAGGCCTTGCTGCTGGACGTAGTTTATCGTCATATCCAGGACGGAAAGTCATTTGGATATTCTTCTCTAGGAAATTGCTTTACATAACAAATTTATTGAAGATAAAGTTTAAAAAATTAATGTTGTTGGTAATTTGTGCTTTTCTTTCTAAAATTTATTTCAACGTGAATTTTAGTGTCGTTTAACATTAGAAATAAAAGCGAATTTATATTTTTTTATCCTAAAGCATTAATGAGAAAGTAATTTATTAAGAATTCTGTTTATCTTAACGTTCCTCCCCAAATTTCTGAAATTAAAACATTTTGCAACAGGCCTCTGGTTTTTAGTTGCCCTATAAGTAGGGCCTATTTACACTATTTCTATTCAGACTGTCTTCATCTTTGTTGCTGCTGTCGCAAGTTTTCGGTCGTTGCACTCTCCGGCGTTCCACAAGTGTATATCGATCTGGTTAACCGACAAGAAATTCTAAACTAAACCCTTTATTTAATCTACAGGTGTAGACTGTCCTCGTTCCACTCCAGGGATATCTTCCAGTTCTCGTTTTTATTTAGCACTCCCCAGTTATTGCTCGCACCTTTCCAATCAGTGCAACTACATCCCGAAGACAATTTGTTGTAGTGAACTACAGGACAATGGCCTAGGGGATTTACAAAGTTGGTTTGTGAATTTGGTGACACAGTGATTGTGATTTAAATCACCGAGTCGGGTAGTGCCTACTTGCATCCAGTGGAAACTGGCGGGCAATAACTGAAGAAAAAAAAAGTAGACGGCATCCTTAGACCCGAGTAGTGAAACGAGAACAGTCTACTCCCGTAGACTAAATAAAGGGTTCACTTCAGAATTCACTGCAGGTTACCCAGATAGATATACATCTGTGGAAGACCGGAGGTCACAACGGCTGAAATGTTGTGATTACAACAACAAAGACGAGGAAAATAGTCCTAATATAAATAGTGTAAATAATGATAACTCTTTATTCCAGAAATTCAGACAGAAGGCGATCAGGGGATAATAACAACAAAGACGAGGACAATAGTCCTAATATAAATAGTGTAAATAATGATAACTCTTTATTCCAGAAATTCAAACATAAGTAGGCCTGTATTATAGAAGGTCATGGATTCATTCACATTGTATTTATTTTAAGAAAATATATGCATTGAATAGAAACTGAATCTTTTATATATTCTTCGGTGTGATGTAAACTGTAGCGAGGCTAGCTTGGTTGACCTTTACAACTAGGTACTAAGTTCTGATTCTCACTAGGTGGCTTAGAAAAATGTAACATTAAATAAGCTAATAAGTATTGATAAGCAAAACTCAATCTAACTGTATCATTTATAGTCCATTACTATGTACCTTATGGTTAGTTGAGTCACGATGAAAATCTACCAATTTGGCTCAAGAGTAAGCATGTCCACTGTTTTCGCGGAAAAACAGCATAGCGTAAATGAAAAATGCCACAAACTTAAAGAAAATAAAGTATTATCGTCAAAATGCTTATGTTATTATTAATATGAAAAGAAAAAGTATTTTTAATTATTTTTGAAATTTTTAATATTTTCTAACACGTTCGAAATTTTGGTTAAAGTCGTCTTTGTTTACGTCATCGCGGTGACGTTTAAAATAACAGTTTTTTTTTGCGTTTTTTTACCGTTGAAAACATTGATTTGGAAATTCTTGTAAAAATAAAATAATTGTCCGATCTTAATGAAATTTTCAGGACTTATTCACAAATGAACGAAATTATTTTTGAAATATTTTGTTAGAAAATTTTGGTAAAAATATTTTTTTAAAATATGTTACCAAACCCCCCCCGCCACTTAGTTAATTTCATGAAATTTCGCCCAAAAACCTTTTTGGCTCCTCAATTTTATTTTTTTATTAAAAGAAGGATTCTTTGGAGATGGTAAATAACCTATTTTTTTTTTCAAATTTGAGCTATTTAACTGAAAATCTTGTCTGAATTGAAAAATAATGAATCCAATAAAACTATGATATTACTTAATTAAAAAAGCTTTTAATTACTTTTGTAAATAAGTAATATTAAGGACATTATTGTCTGAAGAAATAATTTTTTTCTGATGAATAATTAATTTTTACAAGAATTTTTTCGTTTTTTAAGAAATTTTAATTATAATAATTTATAATAGTTTAACATCGTGTAAAGCTCTGTATTAGGAGGGCTCCTCCATATTATGTAGTAATTAAGTAGAAAAAAAAAATTATGAGTCCAAAATTGCTAAGTTTAATAAATTTAGTTGCGCTACTTTTTTTAAAAATAATTTTTTATGTTGTATTTTTTTACTTAATACATTCCTTATTTCCATGTATGATATACAGAAATTGCCATTATTATAACAAGGTCACGTGATCTAAGGGTTTTGTCCCTTTACGTGGCCTTTTCATAACATTTCGTTTCTTACAGGTTGTATTTTCCGTTCAGCTTTTAAAGTGTAAACTTTAAATTTTAAATTATTTTTTCTTTTTTTCATTTACTATTTCACTAAATAATTTTATTTTATGTATTGTATTTCCATTAGTGTGTGTCATACTCAAATATAATAATCTTTTTAGAAACACAGACTTAAAAATTATGTCATTTATGGTCATCAGTAGTAGCTGTCATCGGCTCGTCATTCAACACGCATCAATAGATCGAATAGATGAACAGGACCGCTCGTTAATAATTAGTTGCATATTATTTTTTTATGCTATAAGTAACAAAGATTTCTTTGAAATCAGATTACTTTAAATTTTTTAATTTTACTAAAATAACGTGTCAGAATTTTTTTTAAATATTTTAAAAATCGATAAATTTGTGTTTGTTTACAAATTTCTTAAAATTAAGAAAATGGCCGTTTTTAAGAAAATTTAAAAATTTGAAATTAAATTTGACAATCAAATGTATATAGTTTCTAACTGAAATACACCAGAATTTTTTAATTAATAGAAATCGTAAATTTAATTATTAAACTTTCAATTAAAGCTAAAATGAAATCTTCAAGAATGTTTTTCGTTGTAAAAAATTCATTTTAAACTTCAATATAGAAAATTTATGCCGAAATAGTGGAGGTACCTAATTAAGAGGCTTCTGTTTTGCAAAGTAACATGGTAACAACGTAAAGTCATTTGTTTCAGTATTAGCTTTTCAGCAGAAATTGTTCAGATTAGAAAACAGTTTTTTTTTTTTAATTCAACAAGAAAATTGTAAAAATCGTCTTTGAAACTTGAAGGACGATGCTTAAAGTTGATTTTAATTCTTACTACAGGTTGCCCCACAAAAGAATTGTTGGAAGTTTTGTTAGTTATTGAAACAAAATCAAAGGATAGAAATTTAGTAGATTAAAACAAAACAAAAACACAAATGTTAAATGTGGTGTTCAAAGTAAAAATTTCAATTTTTAATATGTTAGTTAATTTTTTTTCGTCATATAGTTAAAGCAAAATTACTTTTTTTTTTTTTTTTTTTTGACTAATACAGCTACCCTCCCTATTTTTACACATCCATACACAATTTTTTTCGTTGTTAAAAATATAGATACCGATATTATGGGCGAATTTCTCTTTGCCGCTGAACGTTAGAAAGCTAATCTATTGTTGGTGTTTTCCCACTGAAACGACCAGATTTTTAACGACAGTTTAAGAAAATACATTTTATGATATTATATGAACACAGTTGGTGCTAAACTGAGAACGTTAAAATGTCCAAGACGTTTACAGTAGACACACCAGAAATTTAATAGATTTAGGTTGTTTTTCAATCGTGAAGTAGTTGTAGATAATGTTGAATGAATTTGTTTACGTGCCTAAATTCTGAAATCCTGTCACATATATTAATGAAAATAAAATATTACTTACTGCCGTTGGAATTATGGTCCCTGCTGGGTCCTGTGCCAGATACAAGCGTTCGTCCTTTGTTTTCTACCCAGTCAAAGTTGTCTTGTGTATCCTGAGACCAGCCACACATACCAATATCAAAAGTACAGTTCAGTCCTGCTGTTACTGTAAGAAGAAAAAAAACCGCTTTTTCTACATTTTATTTCTATTGATTATTGTTTAAATAGAACAAGATTCCTTTATCCTGAATTACGAAAAAAAAAGGAGAAGTGATTAGGCAGACAGACAAGGAAGAGAAACAAACTGGAAGAGAGAGGAAGAAAGAAGAATGTGATAGGAAGACATACAGTTAGAAAGAGAGAAGTAGGTGGGAGAGAGAGAGAGAGAGAGAAAGAGGAAGAGACAAATAAAATAGTAGACTGAAAAACCTACAGATACGAAGAGACAGATAGGGAAGAAGAGAGACAAGCAAATTGGGAAAGACACAGGAAAAGTGATTGATAGAGATGAACAGGCAGATAAATATGTAAAATCAGGAATAAACATCGATAGACAAGAATTGATAAAAACAAGTAGGAATTGGAAAAAAGATCAAAACAAATAAAAAGCACTGGTTTTAGAAGTATTTCCATACGCCCATTCGAGCGGAAGGTGGTCCACTATTTTTTTTTTTTTAGTGTACCATAAAAAATGAACACTAGTTTCTTTCCGAAGGAAATATATTGCCCTAAGGTTCGAGTACATTATTTTAAATTTTTCAACCCCTGGTCACTACTTAGAAGGGTGAATATTTAGGAACAATGGACATTGGAAGTGTGGGATTATCCCGCCTTATTTGCTAATGGACTTCGGTCAATGCTCGAGAGATGACGTGGTTATCAGTGGTATAAAAGGAAACTACTCCAAGAGGTTAAGAGTATAGTATTAAGGGAAACATCCTTACGGGACTATGTACCCCGAAGTCATCTTGGGTAATAGAACTTTCTCTTTACTTTTGTAACACGGAGGAAATGAGGTTGATCCAACATTGTTAAAGTAGCATGACGCGTGGTAAAAGACTGCTGAGCAGTGAATAACTGTTTTTCTTCACAAGACCGCATAAATGATTTTGAACTTTACGCTGAAGTAAAGCGATGATTGCGCAGGTCCAGTCCAGCAAGTACTCCATTTTGGATCTAATTTTAGTCTTGTAGAGATAAAGCATGGCGGAAGGAGTCAGATATTTTATGGAACGATAGAACAAACTGAGCATTTTTCCAGCATCTTTAGCAATGGATTGAATATATGCGTTTCACTTCCATCCGAACTATTTCTTTCTAACATAATTACGCAATAAACTTCTTTAGGCCTTAATTCACAGGATGACGATATGAATTTAAGTGCTCACTCAATAATTAGAAGGCCAGAGAGCTCAGTGAGGGGAATAGATCTTAGCGAACAACAAAGATAAAGATACTCATCTAGATAAATCAAAGGATGTAGTAATATGAATATTGGAAGGTGCTCTGGAGTAAGTAACAACAAAAACAAAATTATTGGAATAATATATGGAAATGTTGCCGGTTTTCTTTATATTAACCGGTAGTGATTTTCTGTTCAATGTCTTTCTGAGAGAGAGATAGCGAAGGAGAAATAGAGAATAAGAGAGTGAAGGGAGACAGAGAAAAAAAAACAAAACACAATGAAAAAAAGAAATAGAAAATCAGCAAAAAAAAAAAAAAAAAAAAAAAAAAAAAAAAAGAAATAGAAAATCAGCAAAAAAAAAAAAAATAGAAAATCAGCAAAAAAAAAAAAAAAAAATAGAAAATCAGCAAAAAAAAAAAAATAGAAAATCAGCAAAAAAAAAAAAAAAAAAAAGAAATAGAAAATCAGCAAAAAAAAAAAGAAATAGAAAATCAGCAAAAAAAAAAAAATAGAAATCAGAAAAAAAAAAAATAGAAAATCAGCAAAAAAAAAAAAAATAGAAAATCAGCAAAAAAAAAAAAAGAAAATCAGCAAAAAAAAAAAAAAAATCAGCAGAAAAAAGAGCAAAAAAAAAAAAAGAAATAGAAAATCAGCAAAAAAAAAAATAGAAAATCAGCAAAAAAAAAAAGAAATAGAAAATCAACAAAAAAAAGAAATAGAAAATCAACAAAAAAAAAAGAAATAGAAAATCAACAAAAAAAAGAAATAGAAAATCAACAAAAAAAAAGAAATAGAAAATCAACAAAAAAAAGAAATAGAAAATCAGCACAAAAAAAGAAATAGAAAATCAGCACAAAAAAAGAAATAGAAAATCAGCACAAAAAAAGAAATAGAAAATCAGCACAAAAAAAGAAATAGAAAATCAGCACAAAAAAAAGAAATAGAAAATCAGCAAAAAAAAAATAGAAATAGAAAAAAAGCAAAAAAAAAAAAAAGAAAATCAGCAAAAAAAAAAAAAAAATCAGCAAAAAAAAAAAAGAAAATCAGCAAAAAAAAAAGAAATAGAAAATCAGCAAAAAAAAAGAAATAGAAAATCAGCAAAAAAAAAAGAAATAGAAAATCAGCAAAAAAAAAGAAATAGAAAATCAGCAAAAAAAAATAGAAAATCAGCAAAAAAAAAAAAAAGAAAATCAGCAACAAAAAAAAGAAAATCAGCAAAAAAAAAAAAGAAAAATAGAAAATCAGCAAAAAAAAAAAAAAGAAATAGAAAATCAGCAAAAAAAAAAAAAAAATAGAAAATCAGAAAAAATCGAAAATCAACGAAAAAAAAAAAAAAAAAAAAAATCAACGAAAAGAAAAAAAAAATCAACGAAAAGAAAAAAAAAAAATCAACGAAAAAAGAAATAACAAAAAAGAATTAAATATTTGATAGAAACGCAACTCACCGTGTATAGACGGTGTTGTTCCTGTCACTGACGGTAAAGTTTGCCTCCCACCACGAGGTGTAGCTGTAATAGGTTTTACTGTAATGACAAGAGAAAAAAAAATGATAAAATAAAATGAAACCTGTCAAGGGGGGCAAAATAGTTCTTCAAAATTCTACTGGGCAGCAACTACTCTGCTCCGTTTGAAGTCTGTCAATAGCCTGGGAACCCATTTTGCATAGAAAAAATGCACTAAACTGCAGATACTTCTATGGCTCACTTGTAGACTGTGTTTGCAATAGTGATTTTTCAACTCTACTGAGAGAATTAACGGACCTCTCAATATGGGACCTTTCCACTAACGTCAGTTTTTTTCTTTCTTTTTTCTAGAATACAGCCTTGCCATAAACATTCAGTAACTGCTTGTTAATATTTTCATCACTTTATCCTTCCAAAAATAATTCTGCGTTTGTTCTTGTTGCTTATTACCCGCGTCCAGAGTAGCAACCATAAGAAAAGTGCATTATGGGTGAGAAAAGAGGTACCTAGTAGGCGTGGACGTTTATTTATTTATTTTTTTTGAGGAAGTGATTTTCCGAACCTGCTTTAATCAAAGCCCTTGTATTAGGCACACAAGGTAGACGCTTTAAGGTGTATAGATAAAAAATCCGTACGAATTTTGATTACCATATTATATATATATATATATATATATATATATATATATATAAGGAAGTTACTTCAAAATTCGCTTGAGGATGAAATGGAACTAATATCTTTAATTTAATTACAAAATTAAATTCGAAGTTTTTAGCTTCGATTTTTGAAACATGGTTAGAACTGTGTAGCGAAAAAAACATTTTAAATCAATTAATTTATAATATATATACACACAGACACACACACACATATATATATATATATACTCTCTCTCTCTCTCTCTCTCTCGCATAAGCTGACTTTATGTATAGTGAGACCCCTGATCGCATCTTTCATTTTGCTTACACATACTTCGTTGAAGAAATTATCTAAGCAACTCATTGCCTCAAAAAGTGATTTGTGGGATTACATTACTGACGATAGTTGTGAATCATTATCGTTGTTTTCATAAATCTGCATCGAGATATACTGATAATTTTCTCTACAGGGAATAACAGTATATTATCCAATGATAAAAGTCAATTCTTTCTCTCTAAAAAAATAACAGTTTACGGATTAACACTTCAAAACAAATCATCAATACAGATGTAAAAAGAACATAAGATGCCCCCCACCCCAAAAGGACGGAATCAGTAGCAGCAGTCCTGACCTGAACAAGAAAATTCTGTGAATAGTATGTCATCAAGTGCAATGTCTCCTCTATGGTCAGGACCACGGACAGCCTCGAAGATTATCTGGAAAAAAAGAAATAAACAATGAGATTCTGAACACCAGATACTTTTTTTTTTTTTTTTAAATATTGTCTTTTTCTGGAGGTTTTCTGGAGACATCATGTCGATATTTAGTCGTTCATATTCCAACACGTTAGAACACAGATTTATCGACAGATATAATATGCTTACATTTCCGCAAACTATCTCTTGGCAAAGAAAGTTTAAAATTACTTAATTCGTGTCAATTTTGCATCCCTAGGAAAATAGAAGATTATAAGATGCATTTTGGACAATGGATACCTTTTTTTTTTACCGTAAAGGCAAAATGCTTTGCAACCAACAAAAAGATATGTGCTGTGTGCGGTGAAAGTGCTTTAGCTGACAGAATTGTACGGAGGTGCATTATTTACATCATTCGGAGTATTGTCCTCATCTTTGTCGCCATGTTTATCACAGCGTTTCGGCCGTTGTACGCTCCGACCTTCTTCAGGTGGTTGGAATGTCGAACTGAACGCTTTATTTCGCTCACTGGGGTAGACAGTTCTAGTTCCACGTGCCATGTCTAATGGATGTCAGTTATCTCATGTTAATTCCCCTCTCCAAGTTCTCCATCGCCTTAACCAGGTATTGAACTCGCACTCTTTGGTTCCTGTCACTGGATCTAACTAACGCCTTTATCCACTTTGCCATGTGTCCCCAAGAGTTTACAGTTGGTGATTGTAGCTTTAATGACGAAGAACACCCAAACTCTCCCACTACAGATGACGACCCAATCAAGACATTGACTGAGAAATTACACAACACGGGAATTGAAAGACACTAAATTTATCAAAATCCACCATCCATGTGCAGCTCGGGTACTCAAATCACTACGATGTTTGAGTACCACATGATCTGTGTGAAAAGAATCTTTTGGATCACATTTCATCTGTGACTTACTGTATAAACTCAATGAAAATGCACCCTCTTTGAAGCAAACTGTGATGAGAAGTGGATCGTTTACAACAATGTTCAGCGAAAAAGATTCTGGGGTTAAGAGACATGAGCCAACTTTAGCCACCTCAAAAACAGGTCTTAATCCTAAGCTGTGTATCTGGTGTGGTTGGAAAGGAATCCTGTAATATGAGATTCTGCCAAGTGACAAATCAATTGATTCTGAAAAGTACTGCTCGACACTGGACGAATTAAAAGGCAGCAATTCAAGAAAAACGCCCAGAATTAGCGAACAGAAAAGGTGTTTTCCATCAGGATAGTGCCAGACCCCACGTTTCATGGCTACCCGACAAAAATTGTTGCAGCTTAACTGGGATGTGTTGCTCCAGCCGCTTTATTCACCAGACATTGCTCCTTCGGTTTTTCATTTATTCAGGTCCTTGCAAAATAAATCTCAATCGTAAAAATCTTCATTCTTTGGATGACATTAAAAAAATCACCTTAATGAATTCTTTGCTGAGAAACCACCGAAATTCTGGGAAGATGGAATCTAAGTTGAAGGAAAAATCAAGAATGTTTGTTCATATTTAGTTGAATAAATATTTAATGTCATAATTTTGTTTTGTGTTTTAATTTCCCTTCAAAATTGGCATGAACTTTCCGGACGATCTAACAGTATTAGGCTCATTTATCGAATTAGATTTATATAAAATTAAATGCAACATCAATCATAATCTGTTTTTTGTTTTTCTTTTTTAATACTGTTCTTTACCAGTCTGTTCTCCTTAGTAACGTTTTCGCTTTTTTCTTTCATTCTCAGTAACCTCTTGCTTCTGAGTCTTGCCTTGCTTAGGATTAAAATAATTATAATTTTTTTTTAACCGTAGAATACTAACCATCAATTAAAGTTTCATCACTACTAACTATGGGTATATCATATCCGATTTTGAAAATATCGGAAAAGAAAATTAAATATAAATCTTTATTTGAAATATTTTAAATGAAGGCACTTCAAACTTTGTACTTTGAGTTAACATTAATAGGAACTGAAAAACATTTAGGTCAGAATCAGGTACTGAAAACAGTAATTAAAAATAGGAAAATTCGCGCTGGGTACTATATACCCATGGTTAATGTTGTAGGGTTAAAGAATCCTAGTCAGGAGCACCCTGACGTAGAGAAGCTTGTTTTGCAAGAGTTACTGCAGTGAGTGTGTCTCGTTTGTTGTTTGCCTGACCCTAACCAGTTGGACGTATTCCCTCGGCACCGTGAATTTGTTCATGAACGAGAGTCGTGGCGGGGGGGTATTATGGTCATGTGTCGAGTTATTTTTAAGCTTGAAAAATGTAGCAGCTAATGTAGCTTGCGAGAGGCATGTAAATACTTCAGAATGCTCTCAATAAGAAACTGTCTAAGCCGACTGGGTTAGCTGACATGAAAGTATTTCTGATTTGGCCACTCCTGTAAGGTTATACGCTGATTTTATCCCAAACCTGTCACCATAGTGCACATATTTGGCTGTGCTGTGTGTGCCTGGTATACACTTATCAGACTGGGTTTAATAATGGGCAATATCGAGCTTCGAACGTTTCTACATGTTAAAGGATTTTAAAAAAAAAACCAAAAAAAAAAAAAAAAAACCCCAAAAAACAGCGGAAATAGTGATAGAGCAGCAAGTGGTTTGCAACGAATAACGACCTGATAAAGGATTGTAAACAAGAAATAACAATAATAATAAAATATATGACATCTTAAGTGAATGCAATAGCGTAATGAAAAAGAAAAAAGAATTCAAAGAAAAAAGAATTCAAAGAAAAAAGAATTCAAAGAAAAAAGAATTCAAAGAAAAAAGAATTCAAAGAAAAAAGAATTCAAAGAAAAAAGAATTCAAAGAAAAAATAGGGGTGAGAGAGTAGGAGCAATGGTACATAATGAACTGTGCAAACAACTTGGTTTCGAGACTGCAAACCAATAAGTATTCACACAAATCAGATGCTGTCTAAAATAAATAAATGATATTCTGAGATTTTTACATCTAAACTGACTATACAATATATAGATCGATAGGTTATGATTAAAACTGAACGCTTTATAAAGTGTTTCAACATTATATAACACTAGAGAAGCCAAAGCGTAACCTCTTACCTTATACGATGTTGGTGATTTAATTGGTGCTTGTCCGAACAGCCAATCATTTCCCTGATCTCTGTTCAGTTCCCAGAGTGTATTATTACCGCCAGTCGCGAATGCTATGACAACTCTTAAAATGCCGACACCCACTCCATTCATGCTGTACCAGAAAGTTATACAGTGGTTTTGACCATATGTGGGTGGAAAGTCTTGGCTGACATACCAAGCTTTTTGGCCCTCGATCCTCGGGAAGGAGGCATCAATGAAAAGATAAAAACCTGTGGGAATAAACAAAATTAATTTAGTATTCACGTCTTCATCTCCATTGACTTGCTTTTGAATAGTGCTCGAATATTCAAGCCGGTAGAGGTAGTTGGAGAAAAAAAAAAAACACTGATTAAATGAAAAACATAGCTTTTTGAATATGAGTATCCATAAAAAAAATAATGTTTAAACAAAATAAAAATTTCGTAATATAAATTGGTTTTGCGTACATTGGGATACGAAACAGCGCAGATATGGATTGTTCGAGAATAGAAAGAGAGTGTTTCAAAAGCTCTGTTCGAGATTTGTTTGACCGTAAATCCTACATGGCCGAACGGTTAGGCACGTCAGAAACAATGACGGGTCCCATAGGGGATGCAGGTCCGAATCCTGCAGAAGGACGCATATTTTGTTCTGATATCTCGAATAATCAGGCCGGCAAATGTAAAAAATTAAAAAAAAGTACTGTTTAATTAAAAAAACAGAGCTTCTAATCAAATTGTGAAAGTGAAATAGGAGAAAACTTTAGAAAGAACTGGAATCCAAATCCTAAACAGGAAACAAGGGATAAACCTCTGCTCCTCTTCAAAAGTCCGGGGAACAGAGAGAACCGGGGGATATATATATATATTGATAATATCAGTGGTTAATATATATTTCCAAGAGGAAATCCGAGTCGAGCTCAGATATATATATGATAAAAAGTAAGGTTTAAACAAAGCCCTCTTTCCTCCTCATATACCCTAGAAATTTCTACTGCATCTTCCTCGTGTTAAGTAGAAGTGTCCTTTATGTTTCCATTTTCTCTAAAAACTTCAATATTGATTATATATTCGATCCACGATATTCTTAATATTCTTTTGTAGAACCAGATTTCTTTTTCTTAAAGTCTCTTCATTATTGGTGAGGAAATTGTCCAGCATTCGCTGCCATATTGAAGGACTGATATTACGTAACACCTCGTTACTCTTATTTGATTCTAACGAATTTTCCTGTTTCTTAATACTTTGCTTAGCTTTTGGAAGGCATTCTTTCGCTTTCCCAATAAGCTTTCAGAATTTAATGTCGTACTTTCCATCCTCTTTTAAAACACTTCCCAGATATTTAAATCGTTGTATTTGCTTGATTTTGGTATCCTCAATCTGTAATTTGCATGTTGGGATGTCCCTTTTGCTAGCAACCACACCCCTAAACCACACACACACAAAAAATGTAGGCATGAACAGTAATGGCTGACCGCTCATATCGTCTGGCCAATTCCTACTGCAGATACCGGCTCAGGCACATTTTTGCTTGTTCAACACGCACGGAGATCACCTGTGGTTTATACTGTGGACCTTAATTACAGTTTCTGGGAGAGCGCGCATTATCTGGCGTGATAAACAGTCTGAACAAGGCCAGTGCCATCAAAATCTCGGTCACGATGACTTTCAACTTCGTGCTAGCTGAACCATTGACGGCTTCCAAATAGTTTCGTCTACCGAATTTCCCCCACAAAGCTTGGGTCAACCCGTGGTATGGTTTTCAGGCACTTTCCAAAGGTGGCGCACGAACGTATGCAATATTAGGTAAAGCTTGTACAGATACTATCCCCTAAAATACTGCTGATCCTAAAGACTTATATACCGATCATAAAATCGGAGACAGTATTATGCAGACTAAAAAAAGCATCGGCTGAAATTTAATGAAAAAAACAATGACGATGATTGTATGAGAATTTCGGACTGCACAAATATATTCAAAGGAAGACGTAAATTATTTACATTAGTCGGACTATTGTCCTCATCTTTGTTGCCATATTTATCACAACGTTTCGGTCGTTGTACGCTCCGGCCTTCTTCAGGTGGTTGGAATTTCGAACTGAACCTTTTATTTCGATCACTGGGGTAGACTGTTCTAGTTCCACGTGCCATGTTTGATGGATGTCAGTTATCAAGGACACATAGCACAGTGGATAAAGGCGTTGGTTAGATCCAGTGACAGACCCAAAGAAGGTGAATTCAATACCTGGTTAAGGCAGTGGAGAACTTTCAGAGGGAAAATTAGCAGGAGATAACTGATAACTGAACAGTCTACCCCAGTGATCGAAGTAAAGGGTTCAGTTCGAAATTCCAACCACCTGAAGAAGGCCAGAGCGTACAACGGCCGAAACGTTGTGACAAATATGGTGACAAAGATGAGGACAATAGTCCGACTAATGTAAATACTGTACATAATACCTCATCTCAGAAATATAGACAGACTCTGAAGACGTAAATTATTTCTCCGATAGAGGCTCGGATTGAGGAATCAGAGAGCCCAGTTCGAATTCCAGTCGAATCCATTACATTCACTTACGAGCTAATACCCTTGGGAAAGATATGAATCTTCTGCCAGATATGGGTAAATAGCAAGACATTCAGCATTCTTTAGCTTTGGATAGCGACTATTATACCACAGAAAGAAATGGAAACCTACTGCGGAAAAAATCTGCCTCATCGGTCATGTATCGAAAGATACATGATCGCCTAAGCATGTATCAAGCATGGCTCATCACTGACTGATGGACGCTTCTTGTTTAGGATAGGTAAGAAAGAAAAGGTATAATACCATTTGCATTTTGCTGCGTGTGGTCATTCACTGGACCTGTTTGTGGAGTAGAGGTTGCGCCTGATCCAACCATCCAATCGAAGTCGTCTCCTTCATGAGCATTCGCCCAGGTACATCGACCGTAATCAAAATCACAGTCACCTGATAAAAGAAAATATCGAAAACGGATGACTGACTATTCATGTCAGAGTAAGAAGGTCAAAAGCAATTTCTGTTTTAATAAGTAAAAGACAAATATGTTCATGTCGTCAGCGATGAAAAGGAGCGAATATTTTCTTTTTCGGTGAAAAAGAAAGAAAGAAAAAAAAAGATTTTTTTAAACAATTGCCAAGCAATATAATACAATATAACACAACCAAAATATTTTCAATTAGAGATATCGAAGCTTGAAACTCGCAGAAGATATTTTTCATAGAAATCTGTATGTCCTGAACGTTTTATCAACTTCATTTAGTTAATAGTAATTGTATCACTCCTTGTATTTTGTCTTTAAGCAATTCACTCCTAAGAAAGCGATAATGCCACTAAGACGCAAGATGCTACTAGGAGTGAAATAGGAGAAAACTTTAGAAAGAACTGGAATCCAAATCCTAAACAGGAAACAAGGATAAACCTCTGCTCCTGTTCAAAAGTCCAGGGAACAGAGAGAACCGTGTGATATATATATATATATATATATATATATATATATATATATAGATAATATCAGTGGTTAATATATGTTTCCAAGAGGAAATCCGAGTAGAGCTCAGTGTTATACAGTAAGAATATGATATAAAAGGCTCAAACACTAATATTCATGGTTATAATTTATTATAATGGAATCGTAATCACGACCCAATTCATCAGACCTACAAAGTCAAAAAGGAGACTTTGTAGGTCTGATGAATTGGGTGATGATTACGATTCCAATGTAATAAATTATAACTTTGAAATCTTAATCTTTGAGCCTTATATATATATATATATATAATTACATGAATCATTCATACAAAAAACAAATATAGAGGTTAATGATTTAAATGGCGAGAATACATCTTCGCAAACAATTTCAATAAGATACACTAACCCCCAACCTGTATATGAATGATATGATCCCTGTTTATAAATTCTAGTTGCATAAGGTCTTTTTTAGTTTTTACAAGCTTTCGTTTCTTCCTACAGACATTCTCAGGTATAGAAATAGATTTGTTCTTGTTTTTTACTTCTCGGTAATAAGAGGACAACAAAAATATAGATGTAATCCGAAAAAAATGCTATGGGAAATGTGTTATTGTTTTGGAACGTGCGGTCGCAACGCTGAGTTTGAATTTTTGTATGAATGATTCATGTAATTATTAATTAAACTGCACCTATAATCGAAATATATATGTATGTATGTGTATATATATATATATATATATATATATATATATATATATATGTGTGTGTGTGTGTGAATGTCAGTGCGTCACACCTTTTCAACTTTACTTTGAGAGGCTGTACACTAACATTTAATGCCGTTTTGGAATCAGGCAGACTCGGTAAGAAAATCAAAAACATTCCGGTTCGGATCCAGAACCCCAATCCTAAAATTTTAGATTCCCAAATTTTCATTATTGCGATTGTTTTCGGTGATTTTTTTTGTATTATAACAATTTTTATAACTTGGATATAAATTTTGGAATAATCGAAATTGCGAAATCCAGCGAAAGTCATCCATGAAATGAAAATAATTGTTTGTACAGTAAGTAAGGACCTACGTACATCAAATTGTCTCTAAATTAAGTGCTGCTGGAAAAAATTATGGTTGCACTTTTAAAAGATAAGCTTAAATATTAATGTAATATCAATGCTGCGATCAATTTTTAGTGCTTATGTTGTTTATTGTCGCCCATCGCATCTACTCCTCCCTACTTATTGTGATCATAGCTAAATCAAGAGCCCTTCACAGGAGCTAGCTATAACGACGCCCGATAGGGCGACTTTAAGCTAGTGTATATATCTGTTAAGGTTAGAGGTTTGTATCGTGTGACAATAATTGCCGCGGAAAGTGGCAGCTGCAAGCTTCGTTTGAACTAAATTCTAGTCAGTTGCATTCCCTATCGCACTAATGCTATTATGAAAAAAAAAAAAACGTGAATATCTCTTCTCACCTTAAGTTCCGACCAGCTATACGTTAAATAGAATCTTAGGCTTCTTAGTTAACAAAATAACTTTGCGACCCAAATATTCGTTGTGGACACAAAATTTTCTTGTAACATTCTAAATATATTGCCTTGGAATGTTACATTAAAAGACTGGAGAGGATTGTGAACTGGACGATC